CACACACACACACACACACACACACACACACACACACACACACACACACAGCTTAGAATACCAACGAGCTCAGAGAAGTCTGAGCACGATGCAATGCAACAGTTTGACTGCAGTGCATTTCTGGCACAAAAACAAAATGTGAAAATAACAGTAGACTCTATCTTTAAGTAGGCTGGTAACTTTAGACACATTGTTGACATTTAAAAACACATTACAATGCTTTTTGTTTAAGTTGATTGTAATAAGACGTGCTCCATACAGAGAGTGAACGTGTGTGTTTGGAGAATCTTCAGAGAAGTTATGGTTCTGCTGGATTTGTAAGTTAAATTTGCAGTAAAATGCAAATGTTTGGGCAAACCTGATTAAAAAAGTATGTCAAGATAGTGTGCCAGTATTTATTATACATAACAAAGCCTTAAACTTATCAAACTGTTAATTTTTTAAAAATCAATGGGCTGTTTACACTCAGAAATGATAGTTTCACCGTTGACTTTAGTTATGTGTAAATGTTTTGCATTGCCATTTATAAAGAAAAAAAAAACTTCACCTTTCTGAGAAGAGACTTCATTTCCAATGACCAGGCTGCTGGATAAGTGGGATGAACCTTGTGGAACATCTGCAGAATCTCATTAGATGGTGTATTAGATCTCATCACATATGGTCTCTGAAAAAACAAGTAGGGAACAACTTTTATTGAAATTGTGCGCCAACTGGAGAATTTACTTTTTTGTTCAATTWTTTATTTTAAATCGCATTTCAAGGTTTGTCCCACACTTGGTCCTTTCTATTTTTTTTTTCTTGCTCTTCGGTTTCTCCTTGTTCTCACCTTCTGTGGACCTATTTTCTGCACTGATGGAGACAAATGGCAGGAACGAGGACACGGGGAATAAGGGAGTCTTATTAGAACAAACTCTCAGTTGCAAAGCTATCTGGGTGTCTTTGGACTGAACAAAGTGATCTTTTGTGAAAATGCAAACAAAATGCACACACCACAGATGTAACACATGTAAGGCTTTAAACAGTTTATCCAACTCAGGTGTCTTGTTATAACCAGATGTATAAAGGTTTTACAGTCTATTTTGATCCCGTGTCTGGACCCAAAACCAGAGTGAATGAATCAAAGCAACATTCTGGGTATGCTTTTGATGAGGGAATGACAGTATAACATACACAGCCCGTGAGGGGACATGGGGAGATTTTTTTCTTTTGTGTTACCACGCAATAGTATTGCGTTACCTCGCAATACTTTTGCTCTACCTCACAATACCTTTTGCGTTCCCTCGCAAAAGTAGTTTATCACTGTTGTGCCTGTCAATTTATTAACAAACTCACATGTTCACCATTAGCGCATTAGCCTACTGCTTTAATTCGGCTTCAGAATGAATATATCACACAGCCACGCATGGAAGTATGTCATGTGCCGATATTTTAACACAGTGCAGCCACACAACATCAATGTCAATTTCACGAACTTGTGGCGACACWTYCTGYTTTGGTAACCAGATATTTCAAAATAAAAGTCTGATTTAATTCAGTTCATATACAAAACAATCTTTTGTGTGGAAACGCAAAACAATTTTGCGAGGTAACGCAATACTATTGCGTGGGAACGCAACAGAAAAAAATCTCCCCATGTTCCCTCGCGGGCTCCGTAATAACATGATATGAAGCTAAAAATATATATATATATATTACACAACCCCCCACCACCATCCCCTGCCTTTTAAGCATTATACGGTTAATATGAAAACAAAAAAGTTTGAAAAGTGCTGGAATATGGTTATTATAAAGCCAGTTCCTTTCAGCACATACAGAAGGAAAGGCTTTTAACGCCCCAAATCTGAAATTCGCTTCGTGAACTGTGTTAAAATTTGAGAGCCAGAGAAATATGTGGAGAAAACCCACAAGAGACCATAGAAAGAAGTGATAATGAAAAGTCTGAGAAAAGGTGAGGGAAGCTTTCCCAGAGCAGTTAGAGAGGAAAAGAAACTTCCAAAAAAAAGGAGCCAAACAAAGCTGTTACTTTTAGTGAAAATATGAACCCCTCCAGAATAAACTTAGAAACCTTTGAAAACTAAAGTGACACAAAACACTTTGCAGGATCAGGCAGAGGACGAAAATGACAAGAAATTTGAAGAGAAGTAATGRAAGGTTTTGGGTTGGAATAAAGTAGATGGCAGACTCAATAAAATTCATTGAGCAGGAAGTCGCAGGTCACACCAAGGACAGAATGCAAAGAGATTGACCAGAACCTTTGCATATATGAGGGGTGTGAGAAGGCTCCATTAAAATGTAAATAAAYGATCTTAGGACTAGTTAGGCCAGTTTCAAATGTCAGTCACAGTTAGAATCGGGGAGGAGATTYTGCCACAGGAGTTTGACTCAATCACACACGGACTTTATAATACTCTCTAATAGATAAGGGAAACTCAGGCGCAACCTTTTGCACCGTGTTTATTTCCATGACATCAGAATTAAACCCCTCCAGATGGGGCCCGCATGAAGTAAATACGTAATAACTTACAGCTTAATTCCAATTATGTGCTTCTTGAAATTATTTTGATTAAATTTCCTTATTCTCCTGCAGGTTTGTCTCACCCCTGTGACTAAATGCATAAACAATATACGTTATTTCCAGCACACAGCTTATAATAATAAAAAAAAAAATCTATTAAAATTTTACTCTCTCTTTGTTTTGGAAAAAGCAAGGACTTGCTGTGTGGCTGATTTCCTCCCGGCAGGACATTTCTAATACTCAAATGTGATGCAGTTAACTATTTGTTACCTGGCCTCTTAGTAGCTCATAGGCCGTGATGCCCAGTGACCACCAGTCCACAGAGAAGGAGTAGCCGGGGTGGGATCCTTCAAATGTCTGAAACAACTCAGGAGCTGATGAACAGAACATATAGCACAACATAAATATCACACAATGAYGCCATATAGTCATAAACCCCTCTTTCAAACTGGAATGAACTGCACTGGAAGCACCTCATTTGGATTTAAAAAGACAGCATCAAAACAAGTTGATCTGAGACACACCTTAGAAATTAGRTGAAATGGGGGCTTGTGGAGTTACAATACGGAGGAATTTAGACCAAAGCATTGCAGTTCCAGTTTACATAGAGCCCAATGWTTTAAACGTGAAAAAGAAGGATWTAAGTTATGTCTCCTTAATAACTTGCAATACATTTAATTGGTCTGAATGAATAAAGCACTTATTTTACCAGTTTTATAAATGCTGATTAATGTTTTACGAGGTGTCTACAAATTCATTACTAACCTATTATATAAATTTTAAAATTTCAGTATGTGAATTGGGCCACATCTTTTCAGTTTTTCCTTGGAAGGCAATGCTTGAATTTTTCCTACATCTTACCCATGTACGGTTTGGTGCCAGCGATGGATGTTGCCTTCAGGTCCTCCTTTACAATAGCGGCAATGTTGAAGTCTGTCAGGTGGACGTGCCCTGTAGGTGAAAGAGATTATGTTATCACACTTCATACCTTCACAAAGCCTTGTTTTAATGCACATTTCAAGTGTTCATTTGAATGCATCAATAAGTATTAATGTCAACGTGTTTTCCTTGGGGAATTGAATCAGATCAAAGCTTACACGTTTCTGTTTCCTGTTTTGTCAGCAGCTTACARGAGTGTTGGATTGGCAAAAAAGTGGATCAAAGAATTTTTTGTCTACAAAACAGTGAAGTGAAAATGAAATAGGTCTTTATTGATTAGTGTTTGATACTGTGATGTAGTTAAGCAACATCACTAGTTTTCAAAGTCATGCCATTGACCCGTGTCTCAACATGCTGCCAGATGGCCCAGAGTCTTTGCCATGCTCACTGACCACACACACTAATAAGCTAAATGTGGCCTATATGTGTGTGTGTGTGTGTGTGTTCCATAGTGACTCATAGAGCATGAGTGTATATGCTATAATGCTTGCATGACTGAGTTCTCTAACTCTACAAATACATAAACAGTGAGATCACAGCAAAATTGTTGACTTAAATAATGAAGAGCTGTCAGAAGTAATCATCTCACAAAAGAAAACATCATTCTCCTTTCACTTTTTAAAACTTTTTCTTGTCCTTTTATGCTTCCTTCCCTAATTTTCTGTCTGAACACATTAACAACAAGCCATAGCGAACTGGAACATTGGAAAGCAGGGAAACAAACAAAAAAGTCCTGTAATGACTGTTTGCAAGAAGATTCGATTAAAACTCGCATTTGACTAAAGACCTTAAGGAAATTTTGTAACTCCTGGAATGTAGTGTTCAGTGAAGGATGGATAAATTTGATCTTAACGAAAGGATAATTGAAAGAAAACTTCCTGGATTCATTTAGATAAAAATAGATAGTGCAGGCATTCATGCTTATGTGTATGAAAAAGGAAAACAAATTAAACTGACTTTTCTTGATGATCACATCATCCACAACCTCACATGCCAAAGTTTGAAACAAAGCTCTCACGCAATCTGTCAGAGTTCAAATGTTGGGGATGTTGGCTACTTCCACACCCAATTTTAGTTCAATATCTGTAAGRTTTATGAAACACTAAACACACTTCTTCATGGCAACAGAACTCATGATGAAGGTGTCTTTCTGTGAGACAAAACATTCAGCCTCACCGTAAAACCTAAAGAGGAGTTACCATTGAAGAAGACGTCAAACTTTAAATCCTTTTTTTTTTCACATTTAAATTATTCAGTTGGGGTCTATATAAAGTGGAACTGCAATGYTTTGGTCTGAATTCTTCCTTACTGTAACTCCACAAGCCCCTTTATTCACCCATTTTCTGATGTGTGTCTCTGATAAACTCATTTTGAGATTGTCTCTTTAGATTCAAACAAGGCGCCTCACACCCCGCCCCACTCCGGCTTCTGGACAGATCCATTCCAGTTTGATAGAGAGGTTTATGACTATATAGCAGTACAGAAATGTTTTAATTACTAATTACTTAAAATATGTCAACAATGAAAGACTTGTCTGTCCAGCCTTACGTGTTGGACCAGAGTCTGACCAAAGGCCAGAGGAGAATGAAGACCACTAAATTGTAGTTGGTAAGTCCAGTACTTATTTGGCAGTTCCATCACAAATACTGCAACATAATAATTCAGAAAACACCATGAAAACAGAGAAAACTGAACAGGTAAAAAAAATGACAAATTGAATATAAAGTTGTCTATGCAGCACCGGGAGAGACTAAATTCAAATTTTCTGAACACCTAGACTCCAAGGAAAYGACAAAATATATTTAATGAMTAAAAAAGTGGATGTTGCATGATATGTACCCTTTTAAACCAGCCTGGTTTCACTTGAGGAATAGAAGGAGTTTAAAAGGAGTGAGTGTAGTGYATTTATGGACAAACACTTGATCTTTGTTGGTGTTTGGGGATGGAAATAAAATAAGACCTGCAGTTTCCATCACAATATTCTTGTGTCCTAGGAAACGTGCGTATAAGCTCACAGCGGATATCCTAACAGCACTTCTGAACGCAGCACTGACTCCTTGGGCTATGTTGTTTAATAAAGCAACCCCACTTGTGGATGAGTAAATTGTTTTTCGTTATATAAAGTGGCTCCCAGGGGAATAAAAAGACCAAAGGTTCATATAGCTTTCAGCTTTCACACGTGCAGAAGCAAACAGCTCACTTCCTCCCTCTGATTCCTGCTGTAATTCAGAGTTCATTGAAAAGTCAAACCAGTATAAAGATGAGAAATGTGTTCACTGAGCTTCCAAGGACACACAGACCATAGGTGAGCATCTTTTGTCTTGTAGAAATCTGATTGTTTGACAAATCTGCTTTACTGTCTTTTTAATTCCCCCTAATCTGTTTTTCTCTATCTTTCTCTCTGTCATTTTGTCTGTTCCTTTTTTCCTTCTTTGACAAATCWTTTTAAAAATGTTTGCTCATCACTTTTCTTGTTTTTGTGGCTCCCCCTGTTTGAGTGACTCTATCTCCCTTGCAGCTTGCTTTATTTGACAGCAGGCCTTTTATCTGACATATCCCCTAAGCTCCATGAGCAGATGTCCAGTGTCCTCAAAAAAATCTCAGGACATATTTGAGTGTGTGCTTTTGGWTGTGTGTGCATACTTAAGAAGTCTATACAGGGTCAAATGTCCCAATTTTGGATRCCAAGCTCAGATTTTATATATGATAAAAACAGATGCACAACACACTCATGTTTCAGTGTGCTCAAATTATATCAAAACAATTTTTCTAATTGTCATATACCCTAGTGCTGCCGGTGCAGTATGGACCTCACAGCAGAATCACTGGGTTGTTCAGTCGTGTTACCTGGGGACGTTTGCAGCAAATCTTCAAGTTTGTGAAGCAAAAACCTTGACTTTTGGCTTSCTTCTAACAATTCTGCAGCTGTTGCATTGATTTGAGATTTGGAATATTCACAGGCTCAGTCAAGACATTAGGCTCTGTCTTTATCCTGCCCAGAAAAATCCAGTGGTGATTTTAATGCYGTGGACGCGCTATGACTAAAAAGTGCAGTAGCTGTTGTATGCTCCCACTTTTGTTTCAAAACACGCCGACTGTAACCTTGAAAAGTCAAATTGTTTCAAAAGATTGGTTCTCTGCCTTTAGTTCAATTTTTAAGCTTTATCATCCTGCTGTCATCATTAGCCTTTGCCTAAAAAGCTTGGCTTTAGCACATCCACATCTGCAGTTCTGTTATAAAATCATATTACTGTGGATATTGTAAGGTGTCCGTGCTTTTGGCCAGTACACAATGAATCTGCATTCTGCGCTGCCTCTGTTTGCTTAGGGCTTGTCAATGGTGAGTCAGTGAGTCATAAGATGAAATGTCTTTTTATCCCTCTTCATTTACATACTGATGAAAGATTTTACAGTCTATAACAATGCTGCCTTGATTTACAAATGCTCTCTTTCCCTCCTCAAAACCATCRCCCCCCACCTCGTCCCGCCACATACACTCACATTTTCTCTTATTCCTTACCATGTGTGTATTTTATTTTGTGAAATCATGACAAAAGACCTATGATAAGAGCTACTCGTTGATTCAGAGTGAAATTTTCACTTTCAGCAGAGGACTCGTGATGAATATCACCTGTCCTCCATGTTTCCATTACATCACAGAGTCTCATTAGAATCTATAGTTCAAAAAGAAAAAAACAGTCTGACTCACAGCTTCAACCACCTCTGACAGTTTGAAGGGGAAGTAAAAAAAAATTGTGTGGATGCCTCTGTGATATTTTTTTCTCCAAATAATTGATGACATGAGATATTTCTTCTTTGTACTGTAAAGCGACCTGTCTCTGAGCACTTCAACAACTTTGATCTGAGTAAAAGCGATTCCAGACGTTGGAGCTTTGAAGAAATCTTACATCAGAAACGTTTAAGTGTTTTGTTTGTTTGATTTTTGAATGTTTAGTCAAAGAAAGTAAATGAAACTTTACACTTTTGTTTCTAAAAACGCACATACAGTAACCTTTTAAAATCTGAAATACAATTCAAAAGAAATCTTACCATGCTCATCCAGTAGTATGTTGTCAGGCTTGATGTCTCTGAAGTAGAAAACAGAGTGCATTKCGATCAGTAACTGTGAACACGTTTATTTGTAGTTAAAGCAGGATTCTTTGCTGATGCARATGATAAATAGTACAGTTAACTGTTTTAGGCAGTAATTAACAAAAACCTTGACTCACACATTTTATTGCCCATAAAGCTTTGGTTTGAATCAWGCTTCCTGCGTTTCAGCTGTGATGTGTTCATTATCAAAGATGGTGCTTTAAATGTTCATTTACTTTCTCTATTTTGATTGGAAATCTATTTGGTAACATGGATTTGGCTACTTGCTTTGAATAAGTTACAAAGTTGAAAGCCTTAAAGCAGGGATCATGACTAAAAATCAATTTTGCAAATCACCAAACTGTGATTGTTTTTAAAAGGTTAATAAGAAGTTAGTGTTAAATTATTTCCATTGACTGAATAGAAAACAAAAGAGGAAATACTGTATAATACATCAGATCAAAACTTTACTGTGTTTGTACAAGCCAGGTGTGTGAGGAAATAAATATCTGACCAATTTAGGGCAGAAATAGAAACAGCAGGCTACTTTGTGGAAGCTAAGAAACTTGAGAAGAGGAACAGGTGCTGACTGAGACTCTTAACCAAAGTCACAGTCTCTGCTGGAACTATTCATCACAGAGGAGCTGAAAGCAGATTAAAAGAGAGGAAATGAATTTTTAACTATTTCAGAGTGACACTGACTGTTGCCATGTCATATGAAGCCAGTGTCGCCGAAGACAATCATTAGCTTCAGAGAAGCATCCATGACCCTTTGATGTCCTTCTTTGTAAAGCACTTTTGTTCTCTTTTTCTATTTCCACTGATCATTATCTGCCTTTGACAAAGTCATCAGCTYCCATGGTTTATTACCATGACATAGTCAGGGACATTTACAGTWTTTCCATGCATCACATGTGCTTACACACTTTTTTTATTCTGACTTTTTCACCTTATAGCTGCTTACAAACAGGATACAACCACATATACTTAAATTTGTAATCTTTTGGTAAATACCATCCTCTCTAAACACAGTAATTATAAATACTTTTGTGTTCATAAATCTTCAATTTATTTTTTATATGTTGTTCTGGTTCTGCTTTTTTAACTTCTTAATCCAAATATTAGCGTCCTTCAGCTTTGCTGATTTTAGCTTTTTTTTCTGCTGTTTATCTATCATTCTGACTTATTCTGTTTCTCTGCTAATCTCAACTTTTTGTGCTTCTTTCATCTGTTTTCTACTATTTTAATCTTTTTAAGCTTCTTTCAGCTGATTTGGGGTGTTTTTTGTGTTTTTAGCTACTTTTTAGCAAATTTTATTTTTTTACCAAAATTCTCTGTTTTGTGATCATTTCAGTTTTTTTACTCCTTAAATCTGCGAACATACTCTTTTGGTTTCTTTGTGCTAATTTCAGCAATTTTAGCTGCTTATTTTAGCTATGTTTAACCAAGCATCAGCTATTCAGCCCAGATCTTTGAGCCATTAGTTATGGTGTTTTTCATTACACATCTAAAATAAAACAAATCAATATTCTGTTCCTGGTGTCTCTCTGTCCTCTTGTCTTTGTGATAAACCTTGAAAACTACGTCCTTTGAACTGATGAAACAATAATCAATATTCACAGCATTTTTCAGTGTTCTTACATTACTCAGGATGGGAATGGCATTCTTAATCAGTTTCTGTTGTGCCCTGATTTGTAATTTTGCACATTAGGTTCTGTTGATGAACACTTTTTGTGTTGGATTAGAACTTTACAGCACACATTTTCTGGTAAAATAAATTGAACAAGTGAAATGCAGGTCTCTGGTGTACACATTTTAACAGTGCGAGTGAGTCCTTCCTCTAATTAAATATACTGCCCTGTAGGAATGTGGCAGTATTTAGCATTTCAAAGGCAGCAGAAACCTGCGTGAGTACATTTGTTTCTGTGCAGACAAGAACAACCTGTAGCACAGAACTTTGGGTGGAATGGCTGATCGGCCAGTACAGGTGCTGGCGAGTTTGAGAAAGGTCAGCTGTGTAACCCTTAATTAGCTGACATTTCCCTCAAAGGATGGCACTAAGGAAAAGGGGAGGAAGAAGTGCCACTGCTAAAAAAGCAAGCAGCATAGGTGAAAAAAAGGAGCCTTGCTCACTATAAAAGTCATGCCGTCATTGTGAAGCTAAAGGACTCAGAGGGGTTCAAACACCTGGCTGAAGAAATACAGCAAAACAAAAAATCTCATTGGCAAGTGGTTCATTGTATAAATCAGTCTGCCAAGCACCAAGAAAGGATGATTATGATTAACAGATTTATTCTAAAAATCCATATTAGTGACTCGCACATGTTTTAGCTTTACCAGAATCCCTTCACTTGATCAAAAAATAACCTGATGAGCATTTTTGGGAGAAAATAGCATAAAAATGAACTAAACCATACTTTGGCACCTAAGCTAAAATGTGTGAATTTGGTTTAAATTAAAAGTTGGGCTATTCAACTATCAGGGTTGGCATTGCCCAATTATGGTTATGTGAAACAATGTTTCTTTTACCTTTATTTTTTTTGTTCCATTAAATTATGAATTTATATTTTAATAATTAAAAACCTATTATTATATTAGATTAGGTAAAAGAAAAAAAATATATATATAGGGAGGTGGGGCTGGCTGTGGAACTGAAGTCACCCTTGGGTTAGATGTGGCCTGCGTGCCACCAGTAGAATAGCCATGGTTTAGTATAAGTTGAATATATATTTACATTTAGCTAAGATTGAAATAGGCATCTCCCTAATGTGCTGCTATCCTGCATGTTCTACTTGCTTTCCTACACCAACACACCTGGCTCAGTGATTGAATTACCTCTTCAGGTTCTGCAGAAGCCTTTTCATTGCACATTTATTCAAATCAAACGTTAGAGTAGAGCAACTTTTAAAACATGCAGTATAGTGGCCTTTGAGTATTGGACACCCCAGTATTATTTGATACATTTTCCATCAGGAATCAGTCTGACACACTGATTTCAGCTGTAAACCAGGACAAAAAGAAGCAACCAGCTGCTTGTCTCAACTACCACTTTTTCATGTTCGCTGAGTTAATGGTGGGGCAGCATCTATTGATGCTGAAAAACAGATGGTTCAGTGTCAGCACTGGTCACAGCAGGGCTACGTGAAGAAAGGAGTGTCTGATGAGGTGAAACCTTCACCATCTGCAAACGTTTAAAGCTGTGAATAAGATTATTTCACGGGTAACACAACACTAAGCCACATGAGATCAAAATGTTGCACTCATTTAAAGTATTGCTCAGATTTAAAAGAAGTTCAACTAAAAAAGAAGTTAGCGACATTGCTAGCTATATTTGGTCAACGCTATAGCACAATAAATAAATTGAAGTACTTTTTATTGCACATTCTGGTGTCTTCTTTATTTTAATACGTTTGTTTAATCTGAAAGTACAAATACAAGTTTTTGATCAAGGTCAGAACAAATATTCTATTTTAAAACAATCCAATCTGAAATGTAAGGACTTTTTGCCCAAGGACAAGAGCTCATACTGTAAATGAAAGATGTGTGAGGGACAAAAAAATCAACGCTGTGGTTGTGTGAGTACACACTGATCATAAATGTCCATGGAGGTGGCGGTGGTGGAGGGGGGGGTCAGTCCTTCTCACCTTCATGGCAGACATTTGAAACTTGGTGCCTGAGTGGAAGAGCAATTAAACTAGAGAGCTATGCATGGTATTTATATGGCGTGATTCAGAATAAATAAATTCCTGCAATTAGCAGGAAAGCCAATAAGGTACTTTGGAAAAAAACAGTAAAGCAGGGACAGAGTTTTAACAATAAAGTTAAAGGCAAAGATAAGGCTACTATACATTTAACCGAGGAAGTATGACGACAGAGACAAGATGAACAATGGCAGTAAAAGTTTGTGAGTCTTGTCAGAATGGGATGTAGGGCTAGGATGGCTCAGGGCAAGCTGATCTCCTTGGCTATTCTTTCGGATGACTGGACCTACAAGCTATTAGTAGGATCTAATGACCTCATTACAGCCTGCTATCACAGGCAGAGGGGTAATTGAACCCTGTACCTGAACATATGATGCTGAGCTGATACTGGAGCTGGCCAACTCACCTGAGAACTGAAGCCTTTACACACATGCATACAAACCACAAAGCTGCACATTCAGATTCTGGGGCAGGATTGTTTATTCTCCTGAAATCAAATGCTGTATTTTGCTGTTGACACTAAACTTGAACATTGGAGCAGTAGGGACATAGTTCTAACAGTATAGTTTTTTTAATTTTATTCTTGTGCCAAGTTATTGTTCTTTTGTTGTTTTGAGTGTTTTGTGTTTCTACTTAAAAAATGAAAAGAATGTTCTTCGGGCATAAAATGTTTTTCGAAACTGTTTATTTTTCCCTGTGTTTACCAGTTGCTTTGTTTTTATAAACAGTTTATTAACGTTCTGAGTTCAAATTAATTGATTTTGATACCAAATGCTGTTAGTGCTCAGCAAAATACCAAAAGATTGAAAATGTGAACCAATAATCAGTTATGAAAGACGTATGTCAATAGTTATAGTAACAACATATTTTAGCCTGAAGTGACAGATTTGTTGTTCTGTGCATCACAGTGTATTTTCTAGGAATATGCAGCCTGCATAAACATGCAGGCTGCATATTCCTTTAGTTGAATTTTTTATTTATTTAAATGCATTCAAAAAGGTGAAAGAGGTTGATTACAAGCAGCTTAATCTCAGACTCTCTGTTTTAATTGCTCCTCTCCACTCTTGAATGAAAATGCAGAGTTATTTGAGTTTGTGCCTCACCCTTTTCTGGCAGAGGCTCCAGAAAGCCCACTTTTAAGCTGACACTCTTAAAACAAGCAGTGTGCACGATGTTGATACAAGGCCTTCTAAAAAAATTAGCATATTGTGATAAAGTTCATTATTTTCTGTAATGTACTGATAAACATTAAACTTTCATATATTTTAGATTCATTGCACACCAACTGAAGTAGTTCAAGCCTTTTGTTGTTGTAATATTGATGATTTTGGCAAAAAAAGTAAAGAAAAATCAAAAATCCCTATCTAAAAAAATTAACATATTTCATCCGACCAATAAAAGAAAAGTGTTTTTNGTTTCAGCTCGGATACAGCGTCCTCCATTTCACTGATTCGATTCTCAGCCTCTGCTACCCTCGTTAGCACTTTGTCCAACGTAGCTTTAAC